ATTTCTGCTAGCTGCCTAAACACTGAAGACGACCTGATTCGCTGACCTAGAGCAACTATCTTCACATACAGACCGGATGAGCCAGACCCGTGAAGAGTTCTTCAGACCAGCCAGGGACAAATGACTTGTCTTAGCCAGAGCTTTTGAAGTTAGCTCAGTAGACTATTTATTTAATTTCTGTTTATGAACAGATACTGCTACAGAGCCAGCATAAAAAGGAAAGAACTGGATTCACTAGTGCTAACCTTCACTAATATCCGAAAGATGAAACTGAGCATCTTTTACTTTCTGCAGTCAAGGAATAAAACCCATGAATGACTTAAAGTCGGTGACACTGACACTAGTAAAATACTCCTGGATTTCCTCAAAGTACTTCTTTCTTTTCCGGTACACTGAGTTTGTGCTCATTCTTTATTGAATTGCTAAAACAGAATTGAAACCCACCCAATGAACAGTAAGGCAAATGGAGCTGTATTAAGTTATTGCTGCAAAAACTAAAAGCCGTATAAGAAGACATTGCTTCAAATTCTGCTCTTGCTTACATCCATGCAACCCTACTGTAGCATGTGGAGTTGCAGGAGAGTAAGAAAAAAGGATGGCGAAAACATGCGATCTCATTTCCTTGCAAAACAAGTACCTTAATAAACATTTTACCAAAACTACCAGTGATTTTTACTGACGCCCAGTGAAAGAGAAGTTATCCTTTGTTTTGCAGTTTAAACAGACAGTCTCCACTTGTTCACCTAAAGACTACTTACAACTTCTGTTACTGCATCTCTTAAAGGAGAGAGGAAGGTACTGACCTTCCCTGAGGGACTTAATTTTCAGTCTGCCCCGAGGAGATACCCTTGCACTGACAGAGTGTCCAACTGGGTCACAGGGTAAGAGCGTGGAAGCGGCCTCCTCGCTTGAACAGAGAACAACTGAGACGAATGGGCCTTTGAATGAGGTTTTTCTGCACTTCCAGGACTTGCTGCTAAGGGTGGGCTCATATCATCACCTGGGCAAACTCCCCCAGTGGAGCTTGGGCTTCCACCAGCAGAAGCATCCCTTTGTGGAGCCTGAACATGTGCCTCAATAGAGTAAGGGAAGGTGCAGCCTTCCCTCAGCTGGGGACATGTGTGTAGGCATGAGGACACAGCAGAGAAAGTCTCTGAGTGCTCAGCCGTGTGCAGGGGTGCACTAAGAGATGAGCTGGTTGTTAAGCGTCTTTTGATGCTCTAAGGAACTGCTCCCTGTCTCCTCTTCTCCTATCAAAAGGCTACAGAAGACCAGGCAGGGGACCAGAGGAAGACAAGCGAGGGACAAGCGAGGGTGGGATGAGCTGTGTGTCCTCCCTGCCAAAGAGGAGATGTTAATGAACAAGTACAGTATGTGGCACAAGGCAGAACACATTATCGCTCCGATCCTGCCATCTGACCCCGAAGGGTGGACTCCCACGCTAGGATCTCACTCTGTAGGCTTATTCATGACTTCACAAGTACTGGTGAAAGTTCACGCTCAGTTAAAACTGAAATGTGCTTTCTTACATTTTTTCCCCCTTGGGCCACATACTGTAGCCCCGACTTGGACAAAAGTCCAATTTGAAATAATGAATGTAATTACCTTGTAAGCACGTTAGTGGAAAATATTGATAGAGCTAATTATACAGAGATGCAATGCTAACTCTTTTCCCGCTGTTTAAAATACAAGTATTAGTGCTTTCGCCTTTGGGATTTTGTGAAGATTAGTTATTGCTGTACAGTCTCAACAAATTTATATGTTTGGCAGCTATCACAGTCAGCTTGAAGAAAAAGTTTCCCATGCTAATTTTATTATCATTGATTGATACTGTTTGGAAAAGTGCTAAAATATGTAGAACTGGGCTTTTGAATGTCTTTGTAAGAATGGAGAGTTTGGCCATGGCCCTTTAAAAATAAAAAGTCAATATTTTTTTCAAAGAAGTGATTTTAGGATTTTCAAACTGAGGCTGAGAAACTTACCTTTTTAGTATCAGGAAATATTGAAATCCTTGGAGACAGATACCCAAAACATGGTGCTTGGGTATCTTTTAAAAAATCCTTTCTGAATTGTCTAAGTGAAAATGCCATTATGTTTCATTAAGGGCCATATGAAGCAACAGAATAAACTCACGTCATGAACTGAGTGTGTAGTCTAGTATTTGAAGTCTTTAAAATACACACCCGGAGTTTTCCATATTATTTATGATTGACTTTCCAAAGGTAGAACAAGAAGCCCACAATCTATATATATGGTGGTCTGTAGGAGAAGTTCTATGAGCTTCAGCAGGCGGCTTACAGAGCCCTCTGTGTACAAAGCAAGAACAGTTAAATGTAGCTCGTTTGCCTTGAAATTTGTGAATGTTTCTGAACAACCCAGCGCATCCTAGCAAATATTCATATGCTAGATAAACAAGAGGCTTGGTTTCTTTCTCACACCCCTGCAAAAGGAGTCAAGAGGATTTGCAAAAATACAAAACTGTCCGGAGCAGACCCTCAGGCAAAGCTGCAATGTAAAGAGATTTCTCTTAGAGGTACTTAAGGGAGTTTTTCCGAAACAAAGGGAGACCTCAGCACTTTATGCATAGGCCTCACTCACTGTTAGACCAAAGTCTATGTAATGCATTTTGTACCAGACTGAGGAACACCTCACACCTCTTAATCTCTAAGACTCTTCTTAATAAATGAGGAATGCAGATCATTTGCTACAGTTGCAGGTGGACAGCCGTGATGCTCTCCACATTTGAAGCCAAAACACCACACAGAAGGGTTCAAAGTGACATATGGTGTCAGTGAAACGCTGCCTGGCTGTTAAAAGAGAAGGCAAAGACAGCTCTGCTTGCTTCTGGCGTTGTCTGACGCCGTCTCTTCTGCCTGAAGCTGTCGGTGATGCAGCTACCTCCACCACCACACGCAGGTACCTCCTCCTCCCCACAAAGGTTCCTCCACCACCACACGCAAGCCTTTGCACTTAGGCCTGCATTGGCCCAGAGCTCAAGGAACAGAGGTCACGCCTCAAAGTGCAGAGATGATGAGGGAAGAAAGGTTGTAACCCTGCCAGGGCTGCCCAACATAGAAAAAAATAAATTTTCTTGCATTTCTATGGAATTAATGAGGCAAGCAATTAGAAAATCTATTGACATGCCTTGGAACGTGCAGTGTAAGTGTAGCCTCCTGCTTCTGATTCACCAGCAACTGCAGCCCATCCACAAGCCCTGCTGCTTCCAGCAAAGGTATTCACTCAAAGGACAGTCCACGAAGTAAACATTGCTTTCTTAAAGAGATATTTGGCCCTAACCTGAGCCCCACAGCTGCTGCTACCTTTCAGTTCTCTGCAGTAACAGCACTGCTTTGTTATTAAACAAGCCCAAACCTCACAGAACCAACGGGTGCAGCCACAATCCCTGGCTCTGGCCACCAAAGAGCAGTGACCACAGAGCATAGGACCCACAGCCTGCACCAGGACGACCCAGCAAGGGGACGCTGATCAGTCCCCTGGTTATTGTCCAAGCGCACTGCCAGGCTCAGCCTGCACAGAAAACTAAGAATCTGGCTTCCCGCACAGAAAATAAATCCACCAGTCCTGCTAAAAAGAGTGTGTGCAGGCAGGAAGTGACTCTTTTCCACTCCAACACCTTTGAGGTTTATTTTTGTAAGCTGAGCTCTATAAAATTAAAACAATGCTCTCACAAACGGTCAGCATAGAATCTTTTAATACTTTACATAAAAAACTGCATACACAGCTCATAGTTTTATGTAAACATCATATACATCTCATTGTTTTTGCCATGTCAGTTTATTAAAAACAGAAACAGTCTCAGTACCACTGTTGGGGAAGAGGGAAAGAAAAGTAAACAAACATAAATGGATACATTTGTTCTCTGAACCAGAGAAACGCAAGATTATTTTCACCCAGGTTTGCCACCCTGTGAAAATAAGTTTTAAATAAACCTAAATACTTTAAACTGCCCTTGAGTATTAAACTTGATGTACTCAATGCACAAGGAACAGTGCTTTCACCCATTTTTTTCTCCCTCAAGGCAAAGATACAGTGGTTTTATTTCCTCTTCTGTCAAAAGAAAAAAATCACAATTTAAAAAAAAGGACCCAGATGAGGTTACTGCGTAGAGTGTTTGCAATGCTACAGTGTTGTATGCCGATGACAAGTGCATTGAGTGTTTAATTTAAAAAAAATAAAACCCAAGTTGTGCAAAGTAAATTCTCTTGAAAATAAACTCTTAAATAAACCCAAATCGACATATTTGCAGAAGACATTAAATGAAGGAGCAGGCACCAAGATCGTAATATATGGCAATATCACCCCCTCCCCCCTTGCTCATCCTGCCACGTCCATCAGGAAGATGATGTCCAGCAAGAAGGATGAAGCAGTCCAGCTTCTCACTTTCCAGCCTGGCGACTTCTGCAGCTGGAGTCAGTTCAAGGCTCACATTATCAGCAGGCATCAGTCCCTCCGGGCAAGCTCCTCCACACAAGGCAAGTCCCAGCTGGGCACCCCCTCCCCGCTTCACTGTAAATAAGCTCCCCCTGCCCTACCCCCATTTGCACAAAACAGAAAAGGTAAGATATATACACGCATGGCTGGGGATGGCCCGGCCACAGGGCACAATGCTCCGCAGCAGGCCAAGGCTCAGGCCACGACATCCGCCAGGGAGGTGGGATGCAGCAGGCAGCCCGTGACGCAGCCCCTTCCCCAGCCCACCCACGCAGGGGCCGGGGGAGGCAGACACATGCACACAAGCTGCAAGAGTCTCTTGGAGCACCTCAACTCCACTGCCCTCCTCCGAGGAGGGCAAGGAGGCTGTGCAAGAGCCAGGAGCCACAGGTGGTGGGCCAAGGGGGAAGAGCCGGGCACACGGTTCACGCAGTCCAGTCTCAGCAGCTTTTGGTTGGTGAGGGTCAGCAGTTAACTCGCAGGGAGCAGTGCTGGGAGGAGGCTTCTTCCCACCTTTCCTCCCAAAAAAAACCACCAGACCTCAGGGCATGCAACCCCCCCCACCCATCACCCCCGTGGCCAAGTCAGCACAACTCTCCTTGGCCAAGGCTGAGGCAGCATGTCCCCTACGCATGTGCATAACCCAACTCCTCTCCACCTGCCAACAGGTGACCTGGGGGCCATGGGCCAGCTGCACCCTATAGGACTTTGCAGCAGTTGATGCAGCCATTCTGGGTGCCATAACGCTTCTGCAAGGCCGCCCGGGTGGCGGTCTCGAAAACCTCCCGGACGCCCTCCTTGGTCTTGGCCGAGCACTCTAGGTAGTCGTAGGCCTGGATGCGAATGGCCATGGCACGGCCATCCTCGGTGCGCACCGGCTCCTGCTTCATGCGGGCTAGCTCGTTGCGCACGTGCTCATCGTTGCGCAGGTCTTTCTTGTTGGCCACCAGGATGATGGGGACGTTGGGACAGAAGTGCTTGACTTCAGGCACCCACTTCTCCGGGATGTTCTCCAGCGAGTCCGGGCTGTCCACAGAGAAGCACATGAGGATCACATCGGTGTCGGGGTAGGAGAGGGGGCGCAGGCGGTCGTAGTCCTCCTGGCCGGCCGTGTCCCAGAGGGCCAACTCCACCTGCTTGCCGTCCACCTCGATGTCGGCCACGTAGTTCTCGAAGACGGTGGGCACGTACACCTCGGGGAACTCGTCCTTGCTGAAGACGATGAGGAGGCAGGTCTTGCCGCAGGCGCCGTCCCCCACCACCACCAGCTTCTT